ACTTAAATTATATAAAAGAAATAATCCAACCAGGTCAGAAGCTTCAGCAGAATCCAAAGAACCCATTGAAATGTCAAAATTGTTGTTGCAAGACTTTTTGGTCCACTGTTCATCCTTGTAAATCAGAACAGAATTTCGGCATTTCATGATAATGTCAACTTCACTCTCAGAAATAGTAGAATATTCCCCGGCGAAGTCCAAGGCCAAGGTGAAAAGATTCTTCGATATAGAGGGATAATAGTCGATAATATCGAACTGTATGTATGTATTTTTGTATATATATTTATATATATATATATATATATATATATATATATATATATATATATATATATATATATATATGGTTTTCATTAAGACGGATTAAAGTCAGCAGTAAATAGATCAGTGTTATTGGTGAACATTTATTTATTTCTCTATTGGATCAATTTATTTAAGTCATGGCAATTATATGTGAAAAATAATATCGCCCAAATGTCCGCCAAGTCTACGGCGGCACACCTCTACTCGATGGGCAAAATTTTTGATGACATGTCTGCATCGTTACTCCTTGACCTCACAAATATACTTTATTATCTCATCCTTCAGCTGTTGAATTGTTGTTGGCTTTTTGGCATAGACCTTACTTTTGAGATGATCCCCAAAGGAAGAAATCTAAAGGTTCAAATCGCACGATCGTGGAGGCCAATTGACTTCGCTGTTTCGAGAGATGATGCAACCTGGAAACTTCTCATTCAACTTAGCTGTTTGAACGTCCATTTTTTTTAATAGACTTCAGTACCTTTAACACGGTATTTGATTGTTAATTTTTCTATTTGAAATTGCCAAAGACTTAAGTTGTTAAATCTGAAAGAAAAAGAAAAAAAAATCATTAGACATAATTCACATTTATATATAATTTACATTATTCGGACTATTGTCCTCATCTTTGTCGCCATATTTACCACACGCTCCGGCCTTCTTCAGGTGGTTGAAATTTCGATCCAAACCCTTTATTTCGCTCACTGTGGTAGACTGTTCTAGTTCCACGTGCCATTTATCAGTTATCTCCCGCTAAAAGTTCTCCACTGCCTTAACCGGGTATTGAACTCACACTCCTGTCACTGGATCTAACCAACGCCTTTATCTACTGTGCCATGTGTCCTTGAGGACATCTGTGTATGAATTTCTGGGTATTATAAACCTAATATCTTCAGCAACCATTTTTACCAGAACTCATATTGCAACATTGTTGTTATCATTTTTTCTCTGCCACTCCTATATATATATATATATATATATATATATATATATATATATATATATATATATATATATGTATGTATGTATGTATATGTATGTATGTGTGTGCGTTGTTAATTTGAGTCTGTTTATATAAATATATTTATATAATTATAGTTTAATGATTCATTCTGAGTCATAAGCCGAAACTAGAATTTGATTTATAAACAAAATGAATAGGTACAAACCTGAATGGCTGAGTCATTCACATTTGTATACGAAATTAGGGTGTCAATTCTTGTACCCCTAGAATACAATTACAATGTGTCTAGGTAATTACTAATGCTTACAGTAGCCGGAGGCATTAAACGGCGCTTTCTTATAAAGCTTAAGAAATTGGAAAATCTTGTTACAAACAAAGAAACAAATACATAATTGCTATGACACATTACTGCAATAAAGATATGGTTCTACAGAAGGACCCTGGAGAGAGGATGCTAGCAACAAGGAACTTTGAAGGAAATAGGAACGGACAAGATACGTGTACTTAAAATCAGAAATCAGGTAAAATGATGTGATACTAGAACATTACCTATTCTATTGTAATAGACTCTCCCACACATAATAAGTAGTAGTAGTAGTAGTAGTAGTAGTAGTAGTAGTAGCGGTCGCCATTTTGGCTCAGTAGAGTTGAGTGAGTCAGTCGATGTCGGACATTGAAGTATCAATCCACCACAACTAGATTGCTGCGTCATTAACTATTATTTTAAGTTCCTAACGTTTTGTACGTCGGACTCTTTTAGGACCGACTTAGTGAAATACAAGCCTCCACTGTGAAAACTACTCTACAACAAATAATGAGAAAAGAGGGCATGAAGAATTCGACACTCTCATGACATAAGAATGACTAAGTGGCAGTGAGGAGCAGCCATTGTCCCACCTAACGATGATTTTGTTTGTTTGGCGGCATATCAACTTATGGGTCATATAATGTTGACATTTAATTTTCTTGGGGGTGTTACTAATTTCTTTTACAAAAATATATTTCTGGTGATATTTTTCTTCCTTACAGTAATGTATTGCGAGAAATTTATTTTTTGCAAAAATGTATTGCTGGTATTTTTACTATATCATTTTCTATACTTTCATCGTGTTTCGACCCCAGTTTGGTTGGGTCAACCGTTTGCCCATAGGTAGGACCCTAATAGCTGCTACCACTCCGGGCCAGAGTGGACCTGGAATAACAGCAATTAAGAGGTGGTGCTCCTCAAAACCTCTCGATCAGTAGCCTTGCTGCCGGATGTAGTTTATCATCATACCCAGGACGAGTCCTAACATAATTGTGGAAGAGAAAGAACTCGCTGGGATACTAAGGGGGCAAACATAG